GATGGTTAGTCACCTCCATATTTCCCTTCTAATAACTATCCTCCTAGCCAAGATGGTTAGTCACCTCCATATTTCCCTCCCAAAAAAATATCCTCCTAGCCAAGATGGTTAGTCACCTCAATATTTTCTTTTTTAAAAATATTCTCCTAAACAAGATGGTTAGTCACCTCTATATTTTCCTTTTAAAAAATATCCTCCTAGCCCAGATGGTTAGTCACCTCCATATTTCCCTTCTAAAAAATATCCTCCTAGCCAAGATGATAAGTCACCTCCATAATTCCCTTCTCAAAAATATCCTCCTAGCCAAGATGGTTACTCACCTCCATAATTCCCTTCTAAAAAAATCCTCCTAGCCAAGATGGTTAGTCACCTCCATATTTCCCTTCTAAAAAATATCCTCCTAGCCAAGATGGTTAGTCACCTCCATATTTCCCTTCTTAAAAATCCTCCTAGCCAAGATTGTTAGTCACCTCCATATTTCCCTTCTAAAAAATCCTCCTAGCCAAGATGGTTAGTCACCTCCATATTTCCCTTCTAAAAAATATCCTCCTAGCCAAGATGGTTACTCACCTCCATATTTCCCTTCTAAAAAATATCCTCCTAGCCAAGATGGTTAGTCACCTCCGTATTTCCCTTCTAAAAAATATCCTCCTAGCCAAGATGGTTAGTCACCTCCATATTTCCCTTCTAAAAAATATCCTCCTAACCAAGATGGTTGGTCACCTCCATATTTCCCTTCTAAAATATATCCTCCTAGCCAAGATGGTTAGTCACCTCCATATTTCCCTTCTAAAAATATCCTCCTAGCCAAGATGATTAGTCACCTCCAAATTTCACTTCTAAAAAATATCCTCCTAGCCAAGATGGTTAGTCACCTCCATATGTCCTTCCCAAATATATCCTCCTAGCCAAGATGGTTAGTCACCTCCATTAATAAGTTTTCTTCACTTTTATGCCCATTATCTCCATCTCAAATATCTATATAGATTATTTATTATCATTTTAAATGTTCTACAAAAACAAATTATTACCATAATCAATACCTCGACAGCTCAGGTCCAAGTCACGACTCTCTCAAACAGACCGCCTCATCCCCGATGTTTCATCAGCACTCAAAGCCAGATAGACACTGTCCTCCTGTTGAAAAATCCATTTCGTTGAAAATAAATCAACTAGTTTTTTAAGAAATTAAAAATATTAATATAATAATAAAAAAATAAACATAAAAATAAATACAAACATTACAATTTAATTTGATAAAATTTGATTTTAAATATTTAAAAATGAATCATATTATTGTCAATGACCGTGTAGCTTATAGATGCCTCTAAGTATCCATTCTCTTTGTTTTCTAATTTGTAGTCTGCCATGTACTGCCGCATTTTTTACCCGTTCTTACGCTATGCTATTAACCCATGTTCCTTCACTGACTATCCCTCTTGCCGAGTATGATATATGTCTATATCTTTTATAAATAGTCGTCATGCTCATTCAAAGGCAAATCCTTTGAGAGGTCGAAATCTCCTTGCTACCACGGTGTCAGATTTAACGTTTGATATACCGTGAGGTATATCTAGGTTGTGTAAACTTTAGGTTTACTCCGATCTTAACGATAACCAAGTTAACGATCATTAAATATAAATCTTTCAAATATTGGGTGTTTGAGGATTGTTTCGTGCTCCTCTGACTTCGAAAGGAAGTCCTGCATTGTTTGGAGAAAAGTCAATTTTTGGCCAAATTTTGATAAAAAAGCAAGGCTAACCCCTTGCATTTTCTTTCAATTTTGACCAAAAAATAAAAATCCTTGAAACTTGCTAGAAAGATGCCTAACGGACCTTAGAACACATTCCAACTCCATTTGTAGAAATATTTGCTTTTCAACAGAAAATATGGACGAAAATATGGGATAAAATCAGTCAAAAAGGTTAATTTATTTCTCACAAAATCGATGGTTTTTGCCCAAACCTTCCAAATATTAGGTGTTTGAGTATTGATTAGTGCTCCTCTGACTTCGAAAGGAATGTCTGCATTGTTTGGAGAAAAGTCAATATTTGGCCAAATTGGAATAAAAATGTAAGGCGAACCCCTTGCATTTTTTTTTCAATTTTCACCAAAAAAAAATGAAATTCCTTGAAACTTGCTAGACAGATGCCTGCGGGACCTTAGAACATATTCCAACTCCAATTGTGAAAACATTTGCTTTTCAAAAGGAAATACGGATGAAAATACGGGGTTAAATTACTCAAAAATGTTAATTTAAATCTCACAAAATCGATGGTTTTTGGCCAAACCTTCCAAATATTGGGTATTTGAGTATTGGTTAGTGCTCCTCTGACTTCGAAAGGAAGTTCTGCATTGTTTGGAGAAAAGTCAAATTTTTGGCCAAATTTTGAAAAAAAGAGCAAGGCTAACCCCTTGCATTTTTTTCAAATTTCACCCAAAAAAATAAATTCCTTGAAACTTGCTAGAAAGATGCCTAAGGGACCTTAGAACATATTCCAACTCCAATTGTGAAAACATTTGCTTTTCAAAAGGAAATACGGATGAAAATACGGGGTTAAATTACTCAAAAATGTTAATTTATTTCTCACAAAATCGATGGTTTTTGGCCAAACCTTCCAAATATTGGGTATTTGAGTATTGGTTAGTGCTCCTCTGACTGCGAAAGGAAGTTCTGCATTGTTTGGAGAAAAGTCAATTTTTGGCCAAATTTTGAAAAAAAGAGCAAGGCTAACCCCTTGCATTTTTTTCAAATTTCACCCAAAAAAAATAAATTCCTTGAAACTTGCTAGAAAGATGCCTAAGGGACCTTAAAACACATTCCAACTCCAATATTGAAAAGATTTGCTTTTCACAAGAAAATATGGATGAAAATATGGGATAAAATCAGTTAAAAATGTTAATTTATTTCTCACAAAATCTATAGTTTTTGCCCAAATCTTTCAAATATTGGGTGTTTGAGGATTGTTTCGTGCTCCTCTGACTTCAAAAGGAAGTTCTGCATTTTTTGGAGAAAAGTCCAGTTTTGGCCAAATTTTGATAAAAAAGCAAGGCTAACCCCTTGCATTTTCTTTCAATTTTGACCAAAAAATAAAAATCCTTGAAACTTGCTAGAAAGATGCCTAAGGACCTTAGAACACATTCCAACTCCAATTTTGAAAAGATTTGCTTTTCACAAGAAAATTTCGATGAAAATATGGGGTAAAATCAGTCAAAAATGTTTATTTATTTCTCACAAAATCGATGGTCTTTGCCCAAACCTTCCAAATATTGGGTGTTTGAGTATTGATTAGTGCTCCTCTGACTTCAAAAGGAAGTTCTGTAATGTTTGGAGAAAAGTCAATATTTGGCAAAATTTTGATAAAAAAGTAAGGCTAACCCCTTGCATTTTTTTTTCAATTTTCACCAAAAACCGAAATAAAACATAATAGCCACTGCAGAATATCTTTACTTTAGTGTTTCAAATCAGGAGAGGGGTTAGACCGCCCCCCCCCCCCCGGATCCGAGTCTGCATGTCACTGACAGTAAAAGGCAAGTCTGTAAAAGCACCATATGGAATTCTCAAACTCTATCCTTTAGGTACATTCCGGTGTTCCACTTGACTTTTTTATTTTGTATTTCCAGTTCTAAGGGTGAGGGGCTTTGTTTTCTTGCGTTTTCCTAGTTTGCGAATGATTATATTTTCGGGCAATGTTCACAATTAAAGAAACGTTATTATTTTGAAACATGTCATTCAGTCTTCAGTCTTCAGTAGTTTACTTCCTATAGCAGCTTTCTGAGCTAAACTGGAAGGGTGACTGACCTCACAGTCGGTGCAGTGCAAACAAATATGGTGCTGTACATCAAAACTTAGGTGCGAGTAAAAATTCATGCAGACTGGTTTAGAGGGTCCTCAGGTTGGCCGGTGGTGTGACATAGCACTGATGGTGTTTAGTGCTATGGGCTTGAAGGCACAGATGGAGGGTGCACACACGGCTGCTTCTGAAAGTCTGTTCCATGTCAATAACATATTACAATGTACATTTTTATTTTTGCCCGGTACAATATTGCATACTGCGTTCCTTACTTCAATTGGAAATTGCGACATAAATAATGGTATTGTCATATTGATCGAACGAAATCCGTTTTAATTATAGTCAATTATGATTCATTGATTCATGACATAGACCTCTGTTTCGTTTTTAAAACTACCGTACATCTGCTGAGCAGATGTAAATATCAAACTAAACCAAAGTAGGATTAAAAAAGAATCAAAAAGTTATGTGCTAGTCAAGCTTTCAGGGATCGGTCTGAGCCATAACAATGCCCCAGCCAATCCCTTAGTTCTCTTCCGGGATCTGGGCGTTCCCGACCAATACACATTTCCTTCCCTATCCATCCATATAACCCCGGAGGGCCAGGCACCATGTAAAAGCAAAGAGCTAAGGGAGGAACAGGGCGGCACCCTAAGCCCTGACCCCCGAGTGGTCAGTAAATGCTCTGAACCTGTACGAAGGCGCCAACCTGGAACTCACGGACAGTACCAGCAGCAGTGCTTACCGGTTAAGCTAAGGTACTGTTGGTGATTTACGATGGGAAATTAAATCTCTTATAGTCAATGACTGAACGCGTACGTTAAAAACCAAAAAGACACCAGCGGGATTCGAACCCGTGGCGCCTCGACTGTGGATGACGGATCTAACCACTCGGCCATCAGGCTTCCTTAGAATTCTCCTCAACAGTTTGTCTTAATAATAGGCGGAGAAACCTGGAATAATGCTGTGTGCATAATTTTTGGCTTCATTTTGGTCTAATTCCATTAGCAAACATTTAGGATAAAAAATAGGACTTTTTATACGTAAAACTACTTTAGCCTATACCGTTTTTATCTCAGTAAAAAGCTCATAATTTGCGTCCTTAAAAATGGGGAAATGTTATTTTGAAATGTAATGTTCGGGCTGCAACACCCCAAAGGCATAAACAAACCATCTTTCAGAGATTTTGTGTTTTACTTGCTGTAGGGGATTTTGCACTGGTTGCGGACCTCGAAAATGGTACCATTTCCGCCGGGAGCATGTCCCGGAGTCTCTCCGACCTGACACCCCTCCATCTCAGCGGGGTTGCACGGCCGGTAGCTGTCGGGTACGACCCGGTGGAAGGAATGGTGTACTGGAGTGACATCAGCACTAGCCTGCCGTCACCGAAGATCTCCAGGGCGAATCTGGATGGTAGCAAACAGGAGACAATCGTGGATAACCTTTATCGTAAGTGTCCCTTTTCAAAGTCTTGTGGATATAGACTATGACGAAGTTGCACTGTCATCCGCCTGCCATACACTAAATTAATGTAGGTAACTCCTATATAGCCCAGTTCGATCTCTTATTTTGAAGATTCTGAAACAGATACAGATCAGTTTGAGTCTTCCGCCATCAATATTTTCAAGAATTTCCCATTTACCATAACTTTGTATTTACACCCTGAGTGTGTAAAAGGGGGTCTGCGGCTCTGCGCATAAGTCCGACGCCGATGCCTCAAAAGTCCGACAAAATCTCATCCCCAACCAAATAAAGACCCCTAAATAAAGACTTATGAGGCGTCGGGCTTACGATACGGCCCGTAAAAGGGGCACCGTGCATTTATATTTTATTGGGTTTGTAATTGAACAGTTCTATTGCTTGTAGGCCTATCGTTCTTTTATCATCAATCACAGCCGCCCCGCACAATTTTTTTTTCATCACGTTATTTTAGGGCACCAAGACGAAGATAAAAAAAAGTTTTAGGTCTGGGAAGTTTTTGGTCTTAGATCTTTTTCTTGATACTCATTTTGGCAACTTGTATACTCTCCGCCTTGGGTTCGGTTTCAGCGTATTACGGAAGCGTATATGACCATCCACGTTACTGCGTTACTGAGAAATATCTTGGAAACATGGAATTCCCTGAAAGGCTATCGTGGAAAAGTGTGATAGCCTATCACAGAAATGTGGAATTCCGTGAAAGGTTATCGTGCAAACGTGGAATACTGTGATAGCCTGTCACAGAAATGTGGAATTTCGTGATGGGCTATCGTGGAAATGTGGAATACTGTGATAGCCTATCACAGAAACATAGAATTCGGTGATATGCTATCGTGAAAGCACTTAATTCCGTGATGAGCTATCGTGGAAACGTGGAATTTTGTGATAGGCTAACGATATCATTGCCTTTTGCTTTGGCCGGAATTCCACTTATTCACGATAGCCTATCACGGAATGCCACGTTTCCACGGTAACCTACCACGGATTTCCACGTTTCCATGATAGACTTTCATGGAATTCGGCGTTTTCATGATGGGCTATCGCTGCATTCCGAGTTGTAAAGATATTTTATGATGGAACTCTTTGTTTCCAAGATATTTTATATCAGTAACGCAGAAGTCCAGATGGCCATGCTTCCGTAGTACGGCTTATGCAGATTTTTTAATTACTTTTATTCAGAGCCTGACGGACTGGCATTGAATATCCAATCGAGAATGATATACTGGACGGACTATATCGGGCACATTGGCAGAGCTCACCTGAATGGATCAGGTGGCATGAACATCATCGAATCCCTTGATCAACCGAGAGCCATTATAGTAAATGATGAGCGTAGGTGAGCATAGGGCCTACCATAGAAGAAATTTAGAGAACATTTCCAAAACATTGGGTTTAAAGATCCATAAATGGTCTCCAAGCCAAATAATTTAGCGAAAGTTTCAGTAAGTTATAGGTTTAAAGTTTTTGCTAGCCAAGGGTTTTGCCTTTGGCGTACCAGCTGTGGGGTCGGGCCGTATCATAAGTCTGACGCCTCATAGGTCCGACGCCTGATAAGTCCGACGTCGGAAAACGAGGTGTTTAATTTGTCGGACCTACGAGACGTCGGCGCTATGAGGCATTGGACTTATGAGGCGTCGGACTTATGAGGCGTTGGATTTGTCGGACTTATGAGGTGTCGGACCTATAGGGCGTCGGAGGTCCCCTAACCCATAAAGTTCGACGCCTCATAGGTATAATACCAAAACATACACAAATCCTAACTCCCTTTCAAAATACTAAGAGCGCGTATAATTTATGTGCATCTGTTTTTAACCTATTTAAATCTGATTTGACGACTTATTTACGCACATTGATGACCAACAAAACAAAGGCCAAATAGCGATAGATGTTTGTCACCAAATAAAAGGTTTTATGTACAAATCCATAGCTATATGAGATTACTGACCAAAACAACACGGTTTTTTTTCCCAGACACATTTATTGGGCGAACTGGGGCGACAATCCGAAGATCGACAGAGCAGATCTTGATGGTAACAACAGGACTCTCCTTGTTGAAGGGGATCTGCTTTGGCTGAACGGTATTGCCATAGACTTCGAAGGTATATCATTCTCTAACATCAGAACCCCCAAACGTCATAGCGTAATACTTTTACTGACTTTGATATTTACTTAAGTCATAATGTTACGCCTGTTCACGACAATGATGTCCGACAGCTGATTTTGACTAACTTTGAATTTGACTCGGCTTGCAGACCAGTATATAAGCTGCCGTAGATCTCAATGATCAATACCGCCATTTCTCAAGATCAGGAAAAACATTTACAACTCTCCAAGGCGTTTGAGACAGGGGCGTAACTCCCGGGGGATGGGGTATATATATCCCCCCACTTTTTGACCAGGGGATGGGCTATTGAATCCTCCTCCTCCCACTTTTTCGTGATGAGAAAAAGATATTCTGATTTCAAGGTATTTTTCGAACATCCCAACAACAAAAATTTCTTCAATAGCACTGAAAAGCTGAAAAACAAAGTACAAAGCTTTTATATGCGCCGTTTTGATGTTAGCGCGAGTATACATATTGATATATATGTATATCTGAAGAGCGCCCCCCTACTGTAATGTGGTCTCCACCCCCACACCTTTTCGAATTTCTACGGGCGGGAAATTTTGGGATTTTTGACATCCCCCATCCCCCCCCCCCCCCCCCTCCCCTTGCCGGCACAGATTTAAGCCACTGGTTTGAGACACCCATGAAATCATCTCTCATTTCCTGTTCAGTGTTTCGGGGGTAATTCCATGATTTTTGGAGAAACATTCTACCCTATTTTTTTTTACTTTTCCACTGCGAAAAAAATGTCACTCACATTCATGCCCTGAATTATTACATTATAAAGTGATAATAAATAAAATGTGAAAGCCGAGTGCGCGGATCTACACTGATCACCGACTGAGGGCGCCATCTCGTCTCAATGGTCGCGGAGTCTATGAAAGCATCCCCTTTTTTGTTGGTACTTAAAAATAAGCCGAAGATAGTTCGTCGACCCGCTTGCTTTAACATTCACTTATTCCTAGCCTGTGCGTTGACCTGGTCTAGGCCAGGAATGGGCCAATCAGGGACCTAGAAATTTGCGCCAGGTATCCGAGTGGGACCAAGTTACTAAAAACGTCTATCAAGCCATCCAATGGCGAGCCAGAAAGGCCTTGCATTTGACCAATCAGAGACATAGAAATTTGCGACAGGTGTCTGAGTGGGATCGATCGAGGTGCTCAACTGTCAATCAAGCCAGACAAAAGGGAACCAGCATACGTGAGCCAGACAATAGACGAGTCAGACAAAAGCGAGCCAAACGAACGCGACCTAGACAAAGAAGAGGTACAATGGGAGTGCCAAAAATATTTGAGACATGGCCCCAAGACAATAGACGAGTCAGACAAAAGCGAGCCAAACGAACGCGACCTAGACAAAGAAGAGGTACAATGGGAGTGCCAAAAATATTTGAGACATGGCCCCAATTTTTTTTTTTATAAGATCCGCGACAGTTCGTCGACCCTCCCTCAAGGCATTCACGTATTCCTAGCCTTTACGTTGACCTGGCCTAGGCCTGGAATGGAGAAACCCAGAAAGGTTTTTTTTTTCAATCAAGAAATTTGCGCCAGCTGTCCCAATGGGACCGCGATTATTTACTTTATTTACACTGTAAATCAAGCCACACAAAAGCGGGCTAGACATACGAGCCAGACAGTGGATGAGTTAGCCAAAAACGAGGCAGATAAACGCTAGCAAGGCACAAAGAGCAGGCGTGGATCCGGGAGGGGGGGTGCAAACCCCCCCCCCCAGCTCTGTCCAAAAAAAATTCTCATACAAATTCCTAAAAAATACGTCGAACCCCCCCCCCCCCCCCCCCCCCCCCCCCCCCCCCCCCCCGCTGTGACATCCCAAAAAAATTATACTGGTTTAATGTCCGCCTGTTCAAAATACGGTACACCATTCTGTAATGAGTGTTAATAATCGTCGAATTTGAACAGCGCCCCCTATTGAAATTGGTACCAGCCAGTTTTTGATTTTACGGAGGCCAAGTGTCCGGAGAAAAAAAAACGTGTGTGCATTTTCAGGTTTTTTGGGCTGATGACCCCCCCCCCCCCCTGCGAAAATTCCTGGATCCACCCCTGAAGAGGTAGACAGGGAGGTGTAGAATTTATGAGCAAGGAATTCCAATCAACTTGAAACACCTGTGATTACCTCAACGTTGTACATTGCCAAACATTAAAAAAAAATACCTGTGGGATTCGGGGTACCATGCATCAAATTTTGGGCCGAATCGCGGGCTGAATCACAGGCTAGCTGCGCGCTACGTCACTAACCCGTGATTTACTCCGCAATTCGGCCCAAAATTTGATGGATGGTACCCCAAATCACACAGGATTTTTTTTTTGCACTCTTGCGGAAAAGGAGCCCTGCTAATTTCCCCCGACATCGTGCGCACGGGACGAAAACATTTTTTAAAGTTTTTATGTTGTGCATAAAAAAAACCAAGAATGATGGATAGTATTACTTGGGGTCCGCTCATAAGTCCGACGCCTCATAGGTCCGACGCCTCATAAGTCCGACAAAATCGCATCCCCTAACCAAATTAAACGCCTCGTTTTTCCGACGTCGGACTTATGAGACGTCGGATCTATGATGCCGAATAAATAAATTGTATGCCTCATATTAAGTCCGACGCCTCATATGAGGCGTCGGACCTATGAGGCGTCGGACTTATGTTACGGCCCCCGTATTCCAAACCCCGTTCTCCCATTGAATGAACTCGAAAATCAAGGGCGGATCCAGAACCCCTTTTTTGGGGGGGGGAGCCCTCGCATTGCCAGCATTTATTGCGGAAGTCACTTAAAAAAACTAATTGTATTCGTTGTTGTTGTTGTTGTTGTTGTTGTTGTTGTTGTTGTTGTTGTTGTTGTTGTTGTTGTTGTTGTTGTTGTTGTTGTTGTTGTTGTTGTTGTTGTTGGTGGTTTTTTTTTTTGGGGGGGGGGGGGGGGCTTGGCCCCTTTGGCCCCCCTGGATCCGCCCTTGTCGAGAACAGGGTATTGAATGACTAGAACCAACACGCGAACAGTGTTCGTGAACAGGATTTTGTTGCCAAACTTTGTGCATCCTCCGATAATCTCAAAAGGTAGATTATCCGCAACAGATATACCACAACAATTCCCTTTCAAAACGACAGTCGGCAATCGTATAGTCTCAAAGCGATAGATCTTTAACATTCGTATTAAAATATCTTTGCCCTGCCTTTTGCAGCTAACTACCTGTACTGGTGCGATGCTCGCCTGGATAAAATTGAGCGCAGTGACCTCTCAGGCAACCATCGTACGATCCTGCTGGATATTCAATCTTATCCTGGGATACATCCCTTCGGTTTAGCTCTGTATAAGAACAGCCTGTATTGGACCGATTGGAAATCGGGCACTCTGCATCGAATTCACGTCAATGGCAGTGACATTGTGTATGCTAGAGACATAGAGAGGTTTGGCCCAGATAGCTTCCTGCAGGGTGCCGGAATTCACATTCAAGAGGGTACAATTAACTTTGTAGATGTTCAGTTTATCCAAAAAGATTTGAACTATTATTCTGCTGCATACGAGATTTCAGGTTGCAGGCTAGTAAAAAGGCCCAATTAAGATTGTCTACGCCGACCAAATCACGATTTGCATGCCCTCAAATTGTCTGCTATTTGAGCATTTTTTGTATAGGCCATGAACTATTTTGCATAGGAGCGTAGACATCATTTTTCAAAATGGCGATGGGCTTTTTGGACACTGCGCAATAGCCGTAGCCTTGTTGCCATTTTGTGATTGGACGATTAACGACGTTTGGTTGTTCGCAGTTTAATAACTCCAACGTACGCGAGTACGAGGTGCGTATATCTATACTACAATCACGAAAATGATTGGAGGGCGCTGCCATTTTCCCGACCGGTCTCCCGTCCCGCCCGCGCCCGTTGGCCGCGGGGGATGCGGAACGGGGCCCGGCTATTTCCACCCCATTTTCCCATAATTCCCTTCCCCATTGGGCCGCGCCGGCCATCTTGCGTACGGGCCGGATAATTGACGTGCCACGTCGTATACGTTCGTTTATGAGCATGCAGCGTACGGGCCGGATAATTGACGTGCCACGTATACGTTCGTTATGAGCATGCAGCGCATGCAACAGCACAGCGTTGTTGATATGGTTGATGTATCTGTTCCTCCTTGCTCCAGTTTTCTCTTTGAACGGTAAGTCTCATTTATGATATGTATTTTTGTTTGTGAAAAGTGGTATTCTTTCGAACGCCACTGGCATTGAGAAGCATTGTTGTTTGTGAAAAGTGTGAGTTTGTGAGTGTCCAATGATGGCGTAGTCTGGTGGTAGTACGGGGAGGGTTGTACGGGGAGGGTTGTACGGGGGGAGGCCTCGGCCCGAGTTTGGCCGTGTGTTTACTTAGCTAGGCTTAATGTGGCCAATTTACTGCATGCTGCATGACCTCCGCAACTACAGGCCACACTTGGAACATGTACCCGAACATGTTTGTAGAACTTTGTCAACTTTTGATTTCACAATTGGGCTTTGTTGGTAGTTTATTTTTGGATTTTGCTTTAGTTTGTTTTAGTCCTAAGCCTAGGCCTACTACTACTACTCAGTACTAGCTACAAAAAAACTGCTGCATTTGTATATAGGCCATGAAATGTACATTTATTCCATACAAATGATGCAAACTAAATCTTTGTGGTAATCTTAGAACACGGCAAATCATACTAAAAACTTCCTTTAAAGAAATGGCTTTCATACTCAGAGGCAAAACAAAATTAATTTACTGCAAATCAAAGACCAATAACCAACTTAATAAAGAAACCCTCAAATCAAAATTAAAGACGTGATCAAGTTCAAACCTCAGGCCAAAAACCAAACAATACAGGCAAAGACTAAAACCTGAAACCAACACAGTTAGAATAGTGGATCTAAGAGAATACACTCTGGCAGAAAATCACCTGAATCGACAACAGACATGAACCCAAGCAGGATAAAGAGGAAACTAATACGTTGATGACTGTTCAGTGTCTCTGCTGTTCTGCTGAGATAAAATCATATGCGGGGGGGGGGGGGTCACAAAAATACAACATATAAGACATGTTTCGTTGTTTGGCATGTTTGGTTAGTACTTCAGTAGTGCATTCCGCATAAATGGGGTATTGCAAGTTTTCTTCACCTTAGTCGTTATTCTTTTCTTTCTAACTCCTTTACACAGGACTCCTGATGACACCCACATCACATGACCAGCTCCAACCATGCTCCAAGCATGCTCCAGTGCATGCTTCAACCAGTTTCTAAAGCAAGAATCTCAACTCAAGACGAAGACACCTATTCTTTCCAGTTCAACTGCTCCAATATGTCCTTTCTTTTAGTTTTACTCTCTTCTGCAAATAAACGTGTTATGATACTTTGCTGTACAACCCCATCACCATAATAAACCAACTGCTATAATGACATTAACTTCTACTTAATACATAAGAAACACCCCCTTCACCATAACAAATATAAATTGTTGCCCACTTCCCCGGAAATATAATAAGTGACCATTCACAGGTGTAACATAAATAGGCATGGGCGTCGCGGGGGGCCCCCCGAAAAGCAAAAAAAAAAAAAAAAATAAGAGGCGCGAATTCATAGTGGTGTAAATTTAATAGGTTGGGGGGGGGGAGCAAAATGTCCCTGCCCCCCTCTAACACTGATAAATCGAGAATGTGTTGAGAAAAACCGGCATTTTGTGGGCAAAAATATGTTTTGCCCCCCTCTAGAAAAAATCCTGGCGACGCCCACACAATATCCAACCCCCACCCCCACTGGCTGCCCCCTCCTCTCCTCTGTAGTGAGAACGATGGATACGACGTTGTATAGGCCAAGATCAAACCGCGTTTCATCTAAATTACCTAATTGTACAGTTGGTGTATACGTCCTTAATGGTTTGGCACCTTGAAAATTCAATGTTCAAATTGATTGGACAATATTCCAGCACAACATTATTTATGAGCTTTATATAATGAGACACCGCATGAGACAATCGGTCGGCAATGAATACTTAATTTCATTCAACTGTTGACAGCAAGACCTTCCTAATCGGCGCGCAATTTAAAACATTTAAACGGTATGAATCCCAGCACAAACATAAACCTCCACAATATCAGCGATTTCAATATCACCATCTCCCCTCTATAACAAAAGCCATTTCTCCCCATCCCTGGAAATGTTTCTCCCCATCCCCGGAAATATTGGTGACATGGTCGACGGGTTTTACGGAAATTGGGCGTTCCAACTAGCACCCTTCACCCTAGCTAGCTAGCCCCTTCCCCTATATTGACAATATGTCCTGGACCCTCGCACAATCTCCGAAGGAAACGTTATGTACACGCACGTTGAACGCAAATACAAATTAGGCGAGACTGATGGCGAGTCCAAATAGGCTCGCGCCTCGCGTGCAGCAGAGGGTATGATTCTTTATTAGACTTAACAGTTGTTTGGAGTTATTAGAGTTTAAATTATCGAGATTTCATTGTATACAGTAATTATTACGAAACAGTCAACTTTACCCATCTAGCGGGTGCCGCGCGAAGCGCGGCATCCCGCTAGTCATGTATTGTTTTTATATTGGCAAAATAAAATGAATGAATGAATGAATGAAGTAAAGAAAGGGGTTGATTTATTTTAAAATCAAAACAATACTAAAAAAGAAACCAGGGATCAAATTTTATACGCAAACGTGAATATGTATATAAAATCAATAAATTTAGATGCATAAAAAAAAATCTAAAGAAAGAAGTAATTCTTCCATTTCTAACTGCTTTATGCACAAATGTCCAACGAATCATTGCGATGTTCTTTGGATAAGATCATTCCATTTCCATTTTACATCGAACTGTCAAGATCTTCACACATGGGTTTTGTGAAATGATAAAGTTGTTCCTGCGCGATCTGGTCTTGTATGAGTATGTACACGCCCGTACGTAATGTACATGATACGAACGTCCATTGAACTCAACGTCGTTATTGTCCAATCACAAAATGGCAACAAGGCTACGGCTATTGCGCAGTTTTTGGACTACTTTTAGGGATGATCATCATTGGATGAAATTTTCTCTCAATCATCATTTCCCACAAAAATTTAACAGAAAATGAAAGAGGATGACATAAGCTTTACAATTTGATGTGTGTCTCAAGAGTTGTGATTTTTTGTCCTTATTTGTTCGGATAATTATTAGCGCTCTACTTAGAGCTTTTCTTCTTTATGATAGCGGTGGTTTTTAGAACATCGTTTAGTCAAACCAACACAGTGACATTAAATGCACATGGGCGTCGCCAGGATTTTTTCCTGGCGAAGCACATTTCCCCCAAAAATGTCTTAACTTTTTCAACATATTCTGAATTTATCATTTTCCGAGCGTGGGCAGGGGAACATTTGCCCTACCCCCCCCCCCCCCCCATCAAATTAACAGCAATGTGGCTTCGCACCTCCTTTTCCTATTTTTCCCCTTTGTTATCCTTTTTTCGGGGGGGGGAGTGGCCAAGCGCCCCCTCCCCCCCCCCCCCCCGCCCTCGCGACGCCCATGTAAATGCATCCGGTTTTTATGGCTGCTTATTTAGTTATCAAATGACCTAGGCAACTACCTTACGTCTTCAAATGGTTTTAAAATCTGACTCTTTAATTGTTTTCAAGTAGTAATCATAGTTTCGTATTAAATACCTCATTCCTTTTCATCCCAGAACCCAGTCACTGTGAACATTCTCCCTGCAACTTTGGAGCAACTTGTGCGGATGTTTTCAACTCATTTTCATGTCACTGTGCTCCTGACTTTCACGGACAGACATGTGCTTATCGTAAGTTTGATATTTCTTGTCCGACAAATGCATTAGTTTCCCCATGCTGGCAATTAAAAGAGTATCGATCAATGTAACACCCAGCGTATATCCTACTTTGGTACTGATCGTAATTATAGACGTTATAACAGCTAACATATAATAAAAAAAATATTGGTATAATGAACCGTTTAAAATATCTTTTTTTTACCTAGTAAAACATTACTAACCTTGTACAACTCTTTTGTTTTTACCGTATTTTAACTACTCAATTCTGACTTGTGGTAGTCCAACTCCTATGCAACGAACTGCTTACTCTGCAAAAACGAGCTGTTTGAGTAATTTCTAAAACTGGCTTTTGTGAACACTCTGGGCCTCTATTTGCAAATTTGAAGTTGTTAAAATTCACTGACCTGTATCATCTTAACTTGGGAAAATGTATGTATAAATATATGAATCGTGCATTACCTGCTTGTTTTAACCCCTGTTTTACACTTACTTGACATTCATTCCTATAATACCCGCAGTACTACTACTACTAGGGAAATCTTTATGTTAATTATAGTATAACCTTATTGTCCAAAAATAGTGTTGTCCAACGTGGCACTCTATATTGGAATAGTCTGGATGTCTTTTTTTAAATCATCACCCACTCTCTCTATTCTTGCTAGAAAACTAAAAACTCTTTCTTTTTTTAAATTGCATACTAAAGCATTGTTATTGGGATATAATATAACGGCTTTGATTACTGCCTTTCATCGGTGTATTTTGCTCTGTCTTTTCATGTATGTCTATCACTTGTCTGTCTGTCCATAGGCTGGGGAACACAAGCTGGTGCTTTACGCTGGACCTAGATGTTGCCATTTAGTCAATGTTCACTATTATATCAATTGTAAATATATCTATGTGCATGTATTGTCAATTTGAATATGTAACATTATGTATCATCCTTTATAGCAGCATTGAAATAAATGTATCTAATTATTATAATTCTGATTTGTTGTATCACAAAATAACCTCTTTTTAATTTTACCATGTTTCGTTTCTTTTTCCTTGTTTATCTCATCTATCCTTTGGGCAGCTGACTCGGGATGCCTTGCTCCACCTGTGTCCAGTCACGTGACCTTGGTTCAAGCCGGTGTTCTCGTGTTTTCACCTGGGCAGGAGGTCACGTTCGTATGCGATAACGGCTTCTCCGTGGCGGGCACCACCGATCACTTGGCGCGGCGCGTCTGCCGTGCGGACGGCACCTGGTCCGGTATACCTCTTGAGTGTTCTCCGGATAGTGAAGTAGTTGGTAAGTGTTCAACTTGAATAAACGGCGATTTATATCAAGTTCAACGTAATTTAACCTCCATTATGTTATCGCTCTAGTTATGTATAGTGATAATAGTGGGAGTGGGACATCGATTTTGCATGGTACACCTATGGAGCAGTGTTCTGACTTTTCAAATTTTGGATCGCAAACCAAGGCCATTTCCTAAACGTCGCTCACTCCTCGGTCAGGCTTCGAGTTCACTACTGCCTTCAGATTCTTTTAGAAGCCTTAACTGTCTTAAACCAATGGAAAGAATGTGAACTGTTACTCATACTCCTTGGGACCTGGATGTCTGTGAAGCAGAAAACGGATCAATATTAAGCCCAAGTATCCCAACTCAACATGGGCCTTATATCGGAAACTTCAGTCTGAGGACCAACGCCCGTCAGATTTCACAAATATTGAGGTAGTTTTCAAAACTTGCTTCTTATTTCATTTTTTTTTAAAGTCAACAGCTGTCGGCTTCCAACTGACTCATCCGATGGCCTCGTGGTCTTATCAGGGGAGCAGTCCGTATACCTTCCTGGTGACTTGGTTGAGTACGCATGCCCAGACGGATATCATCTCAGCGGGTCCGCCATCCGAACATGTCGGTCTGACTTCACGTGGTCCGGACAGCCAGCTGAATGCATACGTAGGCCTGCGATAACTTTAATTTAAGGCACAGCATAGGCCTACTTAGGATCATTCGCACTTATTTATCCCAAAAGTAACCCGCCGAATTATTACCAAAAAGCTTACTTGGATTATTCGTACAATTGAATAAAGGGTTATATAGACGAAATGTGTTTCGTGATCAAATGGTTGAGCGTGGTTTTTCACTGTTTTCTCGAAAAGCGCACTGAGCCATCCACTGAGCTGAAACGTCATGTTCAAGTTTTGAACATTATTTTTTATTTGAGTGGTTTTATCATGGGAAACGAGGAAAAATACATGAAAGCAAATGATCCCACATGACTTTAAGCCTAAGTCATTGCTATCGTGTCGTGAACTATTGTCAGTTAGTTCATTTTTGGTAGTTTGGGCCTAATTTGGCACTGCAAATCACAAGCCTTAGAGGAAAATCACAGAAAACTGGGCACCACATAGAATCACGTAGGGACTGAAAACCCGTCACACGTCAGCCGCACGTTGGGTGATATTTGAACCCGGGTTTCAAGATACATTGCGGGCATGTCGCATACCACCACCGGCCGATTCCTTTACATCAAAATTTGAAGAATAATGGCACGGGGAAAAATTAAGCAGGTTTAATACTGAATTAAGGTTATGATATTCCGATTACGTCTGATTTTGTATTCACGATGCACAACAAACTAACTGCCCCCTTCCGAACAATTCAGTTTCAGATTCAGGTGTTGGTAGTTGTATGGCTCCACCTTTAGCTAACCACGTGAAGTTAGTTGAACCAGATTCCCCGATGTTTCAACCCGGAGAGGAGGCGACTTTCACCTGTGACGGTGGCTACATTGTTGCGGGTTCAACCGATGGCTCTGCACGGCGGGTCTGCCGGGACGATGGGAGCTGGTCTGGTCAACCGGTGGTGTGCTCTCTGGAGGAAACTGGAGAAGGTTCAATAATAGCAATTGATTTTTGTTTTATTATCCCGTGTACGCGGGTGTCCAGGGACATACCATCCGTGAGATGGGGAGATATGAATCTCCAACACGTTTTGCTGATCCAAGAAGATCAGCCTATAATGAACTCTTTGTATCTGACTGATTCACTGTCTCACTGACTTACTGTAAATATGGCCGGGCAGTGCTATCGTATAGGGTATCACCATTATGGGCAAAATCCGGTCCCATTGTGTACATGAAAAGACTTCCGGTGAGTAGCCATTGTGGATCGGTCAAATACAATCGTTTGTGCTTTTGGACCGGCCATAGGCCGACTATCTATGCTCGCCTTGTCCGGTCGACCAGGCGATCGTTCCCTTTGACTGCACTTTAAAAAGTCGATCACGAAGTAAAGAAGTAAGATAAGTTGCTAAAAAAAGAAGAACGCCTGAAAGGCTCTAAACTTAAAAATTGATTTTAAAGTTAGTTGCGGGTTAACCTTCGTTATACAACCTTATACAAATATGCAATAGCCATCAAGTGTTAATTGGTAAAACCAAATCAGCAAAGAAGGAAATCAAAGCAAAATTTAAACCCAACTGTTTTATGTGTGGTATCTCTTGCGTTCTCTAGGAGATGCACCTGTTCATGTGTGGCTGATTTTGAGCGGGGTCCTTGTTTCATCTCTCCTGCTCTTCGCCATTATTGTGGCCACCGTACGTGTTCGAGCGAAGAGGCAAGTATCAAACCCTCAAAACAGAAACCCCGGATGTTTATATCTGTTTTCAATCATGTTATGCCTCTTCAAACTTGCATCCTCTTAGTCTGCACAAACTAGTTTACCTCGTTGGTGTCAGATCCTTTGTTTTTTCGAATCTGTGTTGGACACCATGCTCGTAGAAAAACTGGTCCATGTAGGCCTATAGAAATACAATTTAAAGATGTCTTGCTATAATGTGCAATTAAACTTCCTGGTCTAACAATATGTTGGTCTGTTATCACTCTTTGTTTGGAAAGGACGGCAACGATCTGCATGGTGGAGAGGTCTGCCGGCACGGGTAGACCTGACCGGGTGACTCTAACGGCTCATGAAACCTGCCTGAACGATCCCATGCGTGTAGGTGAAGACAACCCAGAGCCCATTTATGAGGCGTCCATTCCCTCGACCAATCTGAGACGTGACTGTGAGTCTGTGACCACACCCATGCATAATGACCTACCCGTAGCATCCCCACAACCACGGCCGCTACCGCCGCCACCACCAACAACCCCTTCAATTCCACAACAAACACCACAACCATCACCACCGGAATTTGAGGCTCAACTCACCAACCCTATTCCCAACTCAGGTCCTGGGTATGAGAGGTCCATCCTCGGAGCCGGCGTGCATCACAGCTATTACAGGCCTGCAAGTAGCTATGACGCATCCTTACCGTCAGTATCACAACCGACAGTAGCATCAAACTTACCCAAGGAAACCAATGGGTGTGAACCTGCTGTCGGTACTGCAGACCATAGATACGAGACGTCCATCCTTCCACCCGTAGTTCAGCACACATACTATCACCCGTGAAGAGAATGGTTCGACTCACCCCAACATTGATCGGTCTCTTTCTGCATGGGCTACTTTACAATAGGGTTGCATTACATTTAAGGGAACCATCTATTCTCAAAACGTTTCCCACGTACGGCTGATATCAAGCGAACAATGAGGAGCAGTTGGTTGCATTGGTTGCTTCTCAAATTTTCATTAATTTAGTTCATTATCCTTTGTGTTGGGGTCATGTACTATGTCTCGATAAAGCGGACTTGGGTTCCGTTAGCAAAACTCAGTTACTTGTTGAGGCCCATAGAAGTTCTGTAGGAATGTTTAACAGGTAGTTCGAGAAGACATTCCCCCGACTTCCCTCCAGGAACGTCACCTAACCTTTTTGTTGATCAGCTTCAATTTCCATAAAACATAAAAGGGAGGAAACGAGGCGGCATCCTAACGTCCTAAACCTTGGCTGCCAAGACAACCAAAAGAGTACCTTTACGAAGATGCTGACCTGGACTTCGCGGACAGTCCCAACAGCAGAGCTCACCGTTTAAGCTAAGTTACTGCTGGTATTTTACGACGAGAAATTAAATGTCTTATAGCGAATGACTGAATCAGTGCGATTAAAACCAAAAAGACACCGAGGGGATTCGAACCCGGGCCCCGAGATCTAACGATCATAACCACTCAGCACTTCGGATACCCATAAAACTCCCTTTTAACCAATGTGTCTTAATTGGCCGAGACAAGAGGGGTATTGTTATGCATGGACAAAATAGAAACTATATTTTCGAGGAATAGGGAAAACTGTGTTTGTTTTGTCTGTCCATTAAATTATATACTTTCTCCTGTTGTCAGTCGGATCGAGTTGCGTCAATCCGATAGATCACAGGCAGTTTCCCGCTAATTAAGCTCGCTCAGCATTCTTCTCTTTGTATGACTGTTTGATATGCTTATTATTTATGTTGTTTACTTTGATATAGAAAACAAATCATCAACACAAGTTGAAAGAGTGGACTTAATTGTGTTGTCGAATTCCACTTTCAAATGCAGCGCAGAGTAAGATTGCTTTGGATAGCCTAAGCATTGAAGTAATAAATGTCAGGTTTAACTAACTGTTGGGTGCTGTGGTCCACTGGTTACGGTGTTCGACTCGTGTGCCGTGGTACATGGTTTCGAATCCTGACCGTGGGAACATGGTGCTTGTGCTCTTGAGCAAGGCACTTTACCATTATTGCTTCGTCCTTCGGATGGGACGCAAAGCCGGAGGTCCCATGTGTTGTGTAATGCACGTTAAAGAACCCAGTTACACTTATCACTATAGAGAAGGGGTTTGCCCTGGTGCTTCTGGCAGTGGCTGCAATATACGCCGCAGCACCTTGTAAATCCTTATAGAGGTGCTAAATAATGGGTCTCATAATTCTCATTAACTTGAGGGCCTCCGTAGAAAGCAGTGCCTTACACTGATCGGAGTTTACCCTCATTAAAGATGACGTAAAAAAATAATAATAACTTTTCAACTTTAAAGAAGTTCACTTAGGCAATTCTTGGATTGAAGTGTGCAACGTTAGGCAACCCCAACAAATTGCCGGACACCAGCTTTATAATTTTCACCCTTAAATTTCCTGACTTAAGTCCTATTGACGTAAAAGTAGCAATGAATTCCAGGGTCATCAACATCGAGGTTCGTGGGACACTACGTGAGGAAAGTCGAGGGAACGCCTCGTGCGTTGCCTGTGGCTCCCACTTTCCTTGTAACACGGGCCTCCCGTAAGGCCAAAACAAAAAAAAATAAGTCGGTCTCTGGTTGGTCAGCGCGCGCGTCGAGTTTAATCATGCGCGTCAATCTTTTTTTTTTCCAAAATGTTCCGCGGTAGCTCCAACAGCGCCCTCTATTGCCGCACCTCCTCGATTGGAGGACACCAATGTACATGAGGACACCAAAAAAGCTAAATAGTACCCCACCTTGTCTGTACAATCCAAGCTTGAAGGGAAAAAAAAGGAAAAAAAAAAAACTTTGGTCTGACCAGAGACCGCATATTGTTAATTATTTTTGGCCTAACCTTAATCCGGCTCTTTTTATATGATAGAAACATCATGTGGCGTTGAAAAATGTTTTAATACTAGTCTTGGTAAATTACAATTCTAAAAAGCGACGCAAATGCGCCAATTTCATTTCAGCCCCCAAAAATTATGCTTACAAAATGTTCTTGTGTTAAAAACATACAACGCTGGGTGTGAATCCGTCACAAGCAATAATTATTAATACCACAAAGTATTTTGACTAACTTTTCTGCTTGACAAATATTGTTTTATTACTATGCAATTTTTTTTCATCCCAAGTAAGCAACTTAGCTAAATTTGCCTATGCCAGATGGAAGCGAAGCAAACACAAATGTCTTTAAACGAGAAGAAAAAGTTTTATCTAATGAATTCTACTTTATTTACTGCAGTTTAATATTATATTTACACAATATTATGCCACTAACAGCTAAAAAAATATTTTTTTCTTCAAAACTTAGTTTTATACATTGCCTATCTGTTATCGCTAAAGTAAGTAAATCCATTTAAAGTTGGTGTATACGTGCTTTTTGGGTGCGGCACCTTGAAAAAAATAGATTTTCAAATTTAATTGATAGTTTCTAGCATTACATTGGTAATGAGCTTTCCAATGAGACATCGCACGAAAAAGATCGGCCCATGACAAATACTCAATTAATTAATTTCAAGTTTTGAATTAAAAGAGGGACGCGCCTAATTCGTTCTGAATAGTGTGCGCAATTTCTGAACTGGGGCACGCCATTTAAAATCAAGTTTTGAAATTGTATAAAGGCCTGCAGAAACAAACAAGCAAATTTATTTGTTACAGGACATTATATTCCTTTAAATTTTGTTTGGAAAAGAAAATTGAAATTTTGAAAAAGCACGTATATATCAACTTTGAGTAAGTTGCATTAACACTGCAAAAATAATATACAGTTTTAAAAGGATCTGGCACTGAACTATGCCATACCAATTAAAATGTAGATGTTTATTATAAACAACCACACTTAACGGCGTTTTACACAAGTCTTCCACAACGTGTGGTACGGTTTTGTTTGTAAATAGAACAGTCCAAAATAACTGTATATAAAAATAAGGCACTTTACAATACCCAAAAAATACCCAATACAAAAATAAATGCTTCATTTTCAACTCTATGCAAACTGAGAAAAAAAGGTTCTCGACACACACTGCAATCTGTTATCTTGAAACAAAATTTGATTAAAAAATTGCGGCAAAATTCTGATAATTCATGAATATAAATGTACTGTTCATTACTGTTATTGAAATTTTTGAGCACTCTTTTTTTTTTTTGAGAAAATATATGATACATGTATAATAACTCTATTTCTGTTACACACATTTGAAATCTTTCTAAAATTTCTGGTAGCAAATATTGCATAGTTTGAAATTGCAATATTGTGAAATACTGTGCACTTCCTGATTATCACATTTACGATAAATTTTATATTAAAAAACCTGTGAACTTTTCTATCGAGTTTTTACAAAAATGTGGGTTGTCTTAAAACAGCCATGTCTAATTTAATATAAATTTTGTATTGCTTAATTACTTTTACTTGTTAATTTGAAATAAAAGTTCCCAAAAACTTTGTTCTGTTCCAATCAATTTACAGATCTCAAATTCTGCCTATTTATGAATTATTCATGTTCCATTATATTACTGAAAGTACTGTGTAGCGACATTCCATGCATATTGCATCTTAATCATAATGATGTGTATAAGCCCAGGTATCCACGAGGCCATGGCACTCCACTTGGTAACAATGATGTAGCAACTTGAGCACCAATACTGGTGGATACGTGCACTTTATAAATACACATAATTATTATCTTATCTGAATAGACATTTTCATTTGATTTCTATGGCTATTTACATAATAAATAACAATACATGTATATACAAACACAAACTGCTCAGAAAACAAAAACGTAGTTAGAAAAGAACCATATTTGCATGTACGTATTAAACAACTCGTCAAGTTGAAGCCCTGTCCTTACAAGTCCTTAGTCAATCATAAGTTAATCACAAGTCCTTACGTCTCAAGTTAATTCATAAGCTACCTCCAAAAAGGTTTTACTTTGTCATAGTATTTTACTTTGCCATATTATTGGAAGGTACCTTTTTGGGACTTAAATTTACAGAGCTCGTATCAGGAGCTTGCGACGCCATCACGGTGTCTTTTTAACTGGCATTGTTGAGGCCATGTTAGCTCAAGCCTTGCTTGTGATTGACTTGTGATTTGACATTTAACAACTAGTCTACTTTTTTTGTTTTTTTGTTAGCCTTCGAGAAAGACTCTGCTAGGGTCGAAACGTCAGGCCACTAACTATTTTTGTGCAACTACTCTACCAGTTAAATCATAAATATGTCTCACAATGAAAAACAAAATAGTTCAACAATTGTGTCTTTAAACACTGAATACATTTTTTTTTGTAATAAATATTAAAGAAAAATATCTGGATTATTAAAGTAAACAATTCATGTCTTTGTCACAAAAATATATATTGTTTTTCTCACCCATCAAATTGTTCTTCCTCAGATCGTCTTTATTTTCACATATTTATTTTTAGTTTCGATTGAATTATTGACAATTTTTGGAAGATGAGCAGATGTCTTCTTCCCCTGGTCCAATAAGGAATGCTAGTTTTACAAAAACTATAACTTCCAACAAGCAAAACCGACTTGGGTGAAACATGGAAGTACGTATATTACCAATGGAAAGATTGTCCAGAAAGTTGATTCCAATTTCATGAATGGAAACCTATAAACAATGCAAATGAAGGGTTCTGGTATGTATGAAAATGATTACCTTGAGAATACATTTCTTCCATCAAATTGCAAATGCCCAACAGGGCAACAATTTCAGTACTGGTCAATCCTGGTGGTAAGGCAAAAGAAAAAAATACTTCTGCTTCTGATTACATGGCATTTGAAAATAGGGTAAGTTGATAGGGAATTATTATTTTTTTGGGGGGTGGGGGGCCATTTTTTTGTGTTGATTATATGTAGGTGTCTGCGTGGAGTCAAGGGTAAAAGGTGTTTTTTGAGGGTTTGGGGTGTTTTCCCCTCATTTTTCCCAAAAACGAATTGGTGTAGGAGCTGTCAAAATAGGGTAGGTAGGGTAATCGGAAGCAGAATTATTATTTGTTGGCCTAAAACACATGTGTAACATACCTGTAATTATGAACCAAATAAATACATAAATAAATAAATAATTAAAATAAGTTAATAAATTAATTAATTAATTAATTAATTGATTAATTAATTAATCAATTAATTAATACATGTATATAAATAACTTAACAAATAACTTAATTATAAGCAATTAATTAATTAATTGATTAATTAATTAATCAATTAATTAATATATAAATAACTTAACAAATAACTTAATTATAAGCAATTTATTTACAGATATACACGAGGATTTGGGGAGTGAATTCAGCTCATCCTGCATAGCCGATGCTTGATCTTCATTCCCAGCTTGTCCCTAGCCCTGGCCAAGAAGTCAGTGGTGCGGAGTGTGAGGCTTGCCGAGTCCGCGCCCTCTAGGACGACCTCCGCGTCACTCATGACCACGTAGGCTTTGCCTAGAAGGAGTTTACCCGGGCAGCGTTGGCAGTGCCCCGGGACGGTCACCTCCAGCTCGCGGCTGTCCAGACTGGACTGGCGCTTGTTGTGATTCAGGTGGCTGACCCCGGTCAGGTGTAGGACGTGGTGGGAGGGAGTGCTGGTCAGATTGGAAGCTGTCCCTCGGATCAGGGTGGGCTTGCTGGTGTGACTCTGCCAGCCCTTGGTCGACCTGAGGTTCTTGCATAGTCGACACTCTGCAAAACACGAATAAAGCGGCAAGATGTAAAAGACTGCTAGAGAAACACTCATTCGATATTGACTTTGTAGAAGCTGTCAAGCCTGTTTCTGTTATGTAGGCACTAAAATTCAATGAAACAAAAACATAATCATGACAATATAGCTGTGGTTTAATGGTTACGGTGTTCGACTCGTACCATGGTACATGTACGTAAGTTTGAACCCTGACGGGGAACAAGGCGCTTGTGTTCTTGGGCAAGACAGTTTACTATGATTGCCTCTCTCCACCCAGGAGTATAAAGGGATACCTGTGAAGGTAGAGATCATATTGCACTGATTTTTCACTGCTGCGGGAAAAAAAATGGTCTCATTCCTGATGAACAGGGATAATAATTGTAAACACTTTGACACCTTAGGTATTAAGTGCTATATAGATTGTAATTATATTAGCCCTAACAGAACTCAACCCATCAAACCCAACGGCATGTTTTGTTGGAATCTGTCAGGATGGGTACAGTACCCCTAAACTGACAGTCATTTACATTGGGTTGGCACACCTCCAGAATCAAAGTCAGAAATATCTGTGTGCAGTTTCCCACATGGTGTTGGAATTTGCCAGGAGTCACGTGACAAGCTATTCAAATGCATTACGAACCTAATGTTACATGTACTTGTGAAATGACTTGTGAATGATCTGTGGTTTACACACATACATCTACACACACATTTGTTAATGGTGTAAATTGAGGAACTTTTTCACAACAGCTCTCATTGGTTTTGTGTACAAGTTTTCTAATCGAGGTCGTCCTCGATTTGGTCCCTGTCCTTGATTCACTGATGATGTTGCATGCGTGAGTCCTCGATTTACATGTACACCATAAACAAACTCACACACTAAACAGAAGATGTGCATTTAAAGCCAGAGTCCATCATTTGCAGCTATCCAAAAAGTAACTGGCGTAATTATTGTTAAAAAACATACTTGGTTGAAAGATAGTAAGGGGACTAAACTCCCTGTGAAATTATTCTTTCTGGCAAGCTGTCCTTTTGAAGAAATCAACAAAAGGAGGCCTTTCCAACGGTGCTTCTTGAGACGCACCGTAGGAAATTTAAATTAGTAGTTTGTTTTGTTATTCGGCAAACCGCGCGCAAGCGTTGACATGACACACAAGTGCACGCGGTTGCTATAATTTGACATCGCGTAGCTGCAATCGGCTCAGTGAGAACGTATCTCGGACGCTGAATTCTGGTCCAATTCAAAACATGATTCAACAACTTTTGTTAAGAAATCGAGATCCTATAATGCTGTTTTTCTCGAAATAAACAGCTGAAGCTGAGCTGAAACTTCATCAGGTTAGTTTGTTCAGTACCCTTCTTTAGATTTTGAGCACTTTTGTTGCTTCGAACGAACAAAATGCACAATTACAAATGATGGACTATACCTTTAAAACACTACATGTAAGTATAAGGTTTTCATTAATGCAAATTAAAAGAAGCACCTGCAAACCTAGCGTGACAGAAATCCCTCTACCGCAAAAGCCAAAAAAAAAAAGAGCACCAAAAAAAAGGGTGACAAGGGAATTTCTCAAAACAACTATATGATTTCTCGACTATGCAGCAAATGGTAGGAAAGCAAATCCATTTTGTTCACACCCCATCACCAGTTCAAAAGCTACATATAATTGTTTCTTTACCTCTGAAAACTGCTTCTTATATTACGTTCCAAACTGGACAAAACTGGACAAAATACAATAAATAAAAAAATAAATAAAAACAAATATAAAAGGGAAAATGGGTGACATGCAATGCCATGCAATGCCATGCAATGCCATGCCAAGTTGGAAAAGTTTCTAAGTAAAGCTTTTGAAACAAACAGTGAGCACAAAACAGTATGGAAATGTCATGAAAAAAACCCATGCAAACGATTTAAGCAACTTCACTTTTCAACCTTACAAGTTAAAACAAGTTCTTCTTAATAAAAACTTAATTCCAAAAATATCTATAGCTGAATGAAAGCTTTGGTTTAGCAATGGACCAAGGTAGTATTGGGTCATAACAAGTTAAGTCAGAAATCAAATCACAAGTCAAATCACAAGTGAAGTCATGCATGTACATGCAACTCCTACGGGATGAACAATGTCAAAGGATTTTTAACTCAAACAAATCATTTCAATAGATTATCGCTTGACTTTAGACTGGATGACTTGTGATAGACCTCTGATGACCCGAGATGATTAGCGATGGAATTGTATTGTATGTGCATTGAGAGCAAGATTTTAGGAGCATCAAAAATATTCATCAAGAATGCAATTTTATACCTTGTTGTTGACAGGCGCCTGCATCTTTGTTGTACTGAAAACCTGGTGCACAACACTGCTCCGAGATGTCCTCTGAGTCATCCCTGCGCCTGGACAACGCCTCCGTCTTTGGGCAGCAGAGCTTTTGGGTGGGGTCAAACGCCCTGTCGCCGCAGCAGCTCCCCCGCCGAGTGCCTCGAGTCAGGCTCTGGTTGCAGCAGGTGTCCGTCTCTGGGTTGTAGGCGCTGCTTCCACAGCACTGCGAGCGTCCCTTCTTCTTTCTCCGGAGGCTGTTATCGCAGCAGAGATACCGGTCCTGATTGTAGGCTTTATCGCCCAGCAGGCCACAGCAGGATCCGTTTTTGACGCGGTACAGCTTCTCCGCGCAGCAGGTGCGTTTGCCGAGGACGTAGGGCTCCCCGTTGCAGCACCCCGTGGAGGATGCATCGTAGGTCGCACCCGAGCAACAGATGAGGGTGCTGTTGTCGTATGCGGCACCGCCGCAAAAGGGTTGCAAGACGTTGTCAGATGAGCAGTTGTACAGCTCTGGATCGTAGATCTGGCTGTTGCAGCACTTCATGGGGGCATTGTAGATCTGGCCATTGCAGCAACTCATCTTGGAGGGATTGCAGGCCTGGTTGTCACCCGGTGGACGCCTCGGTCGGCATTGCCGTCTTCCCATTGGTTCTCCATTGCAGCAAGTCATCCAGTGGTGGTGCTTCTCCAAAGGCTTCTCCCCGCAGCACGTGTACCGCTCGGAATCAAACACCTCCCCGCTGCAGCACATTGCCTGCTGCCCATGCCCGTGGAACTGCTTCCTGCCCCCGCAGCAAATCGCGCCCACCTCGCTGCTCCCGACGATCTCGTTCCCGCAGCACTCGCCGGAGAATGGATACTCAAGACCGTTACAAACAGTGTGTCCAGGGACGATCTCCCCCTCAGGCCTGAAGAAGTTCTTGGGGAAGCTGTAGTGGACGTCGCCGACTGCCCTGCAGGTTTCCGTCGATGGGTCCATGATCCGGCTGTGACAGCAGACCGAGTTCTGCGCATCGTGGAAGAGGGAGTCCATGCAGCACTTCTTCGATTCATCGAGGGTGTCGTAGGCAACCCGTCCACAGCACGTATTCCCATGTGTAGCCCTTGGATACAGACTATAAACGGAAACGAAAGGAAACAATTGTCAATTTGCCACCAAAAAAGTGCATATTTGATGATACCTCCGATGATAGCTAAACAATGAAAATAATGGTGAGTATTCACAAGTTTTGTATTTCCTGCAAACCTCCTTAAAATACACTCCTCCAGGAATCAATAAAACCACAGAGTGCTGCGGCGGTTTTGAGTGGTACAAGGGGTAACAAGTAGGGCGGTTTGGGGCGGTACAACGGTACAAGTAACAACTGATGAATTAACAGCTGCTTTCCTCATACAAATACCCCATTGCTCAGGATCAAATTACTTAATGACAACATTCCGAGTGCCATTCTGGACTCAACTCTAGATTGAGAAACAAATGATGTGACCCTGTGCAGAAGGATAATTGGTGATACAGCCATAATCTCAAAGAAGCCTGCCCACCCTAGAAATAATCTCCCTCCCCGAAGGCAGTTCTAAATACAAATTTGAACACAGAGCAATATGAAGTCAGGAACACATTTGCATTGCGAATGCTTGACATCAGATCAACTTCTAAAATTCACTTTTCACACCGAATGGAAACAAGCCTTTAGGGATTCTAAAACTACTTACAATTTTTCCTGGCAGCAAATCTCCGTGCTGCTGTCCATCAGGACCGGCCCGCAACATTCACCGTTCTCCACGGGGTAGACGCTGCCCTGGCACACGGTGTCCGTGGGTCGATGGGCCACGCCATCGGTGCACACTGTCTTGCCATCGGCCATGTCGGTGGTGGATAGAAGGGTGTCGTTGCAGCACATCGGCGCCGGGCTTGATGGATCAAAGAGTTCACGTCCGCAACACTCTTGGCCTGATGTTAAAAAGCCATTAATGTATCTGTGAGAATTTGTGCACACGAGGGTCTGCAATTCATACATTTTCTTGAGAAACACAGATTGTATTGACATTTTTAGTGAGAAGCATTCGACAATAAAATAGTAATAAAGAAGGACAAGGATTAAAAGTTACTGTTAATAACTAATGTTAAAAATTGCTTGCTCTACTTTTCTAGGGTAGATTTACATCAATTTAGAGATACTATCTCGTTGCGGTGAATTACTGTTCCAAACACAGTAAATCTCCACATCGAGATGATAAATTGCAGTGGGAGTTACTATCTCGCTGCAGCAAGATAGAATCTCGCCATGGCAAGTTTCCACCTCTCGCCGCGGCGAGATAACACACCGCCGTGAGATATTAACTCACCGCAATGAGATACTAATTTGGAATTTTTTGGTTACTTGTAGCCCCTCTACGCATCTGAAGATATTCAATTGCTAATTGATAACGCAATAAATTTCTGATAACATCAAAACATCAACAAACCACTAATTACCTTGTACTGTTATCGGGTGCAGCACCTCATCGCAGCAAACGTGGGTGTGTGGGTTGAAGCCCTCAGAGCCACAACAGCTTCCCTCTCCGATGCCTGTCCCTGGGGTTGAGAAACGTAGGGTTTCGAGACAGCAGGTCTCGCCGGGGCCAATCAGGACACCCCCGCAGCACTCCTGCTCCGCGGGATCGTAAGGGTAGTAACCGCGTTCAGCTTTGAAGCTGTCGCAGGCCTTCAGGCCCAACTCCATTTCCTCAATGGGCCGGATGTGCCAATTGCTGCGATCGCAGACGTCCGTTTGATTGTTGAACACGTTGTCTTGGCAATACCTACATGTGGGTAGAACAATAACAAGGAAAGGCAAGCCTATTAATTCTGGTCCTAGAATACATAAAATACTATTCAATCGATTAAGCTTGGTTATTCAATAACGGTTATGCATCTGGTTTACGCAATGGACCTGGTTTAGCCCATTTGCATTACAAGGCAAGTAAAAAAAAAACGAAACCAAAATGGCAGGACCATTTTTTGAATGAAGTTTGCCTGTAGCACTTTCAAAGTCTAGGATATGAAAGCCCAGTCATTAAGTCATAGGGATGCATGTGAATTGGTTTCGTTTTGCTGAAAGAACACTTACCTTTTTTTTCTGATCCGTGGACAGAACTTTAAAACGGTACTTGTCTTTGATATTAGGTAACTTGAAAAGTACATGAGTGATTTGAATGATTCTTGTACTAACAGAAAGCTTGTAAATTGGGCTTTCATATCCTAGATTTTGAAAGTGTGACATGGAGAAACAATAGTCCCAACATTTGGGTTTTATTTTTTTTACTCACCCTGTATCCTTTGATTATTTTACTTATACATGGATAACATTCATGAACATGCACATCCAGTACACGCAAACATACATTCTCTATGACTACGATTGCCACACATGTATTTTAAATGCATGTTCTGTCAATTTTGATTAAGCTTCAAAGGTTCACTTTGTTGTAAAAAAAAAAAAAAAATTGCGCTGTCATTTTCAGGACACATGTGCCGAGTGTCATTCTCTTCCACGCACAACAATAATCTACGCCGGTGCGGCGCACAAAGAAAGAGATCAAATGCCTGATCAATTGTATTCAAATTACTAAGGGGATTTCAAACACAAGCAAGTTTAAGAGTTTTTTTTTTAATCTAAAGAAGAGAAGTCTTACTCAGCAAAGTGCTCCGGGACCTTTTTGTTAACCTGGAGGTGTCTGTAACTCTGGAAGTTTTTGTTTTTTTTCTGGCTGTTTCCCACGCATGTATGCCAATCTGGGACGTACGCCTCGGTGCCGCAACACTTCTGCTGATGAGGCTTTTTCGCTTGATACATCTTTGGGTGGATGGTTCCATCGCAACATATTTCAGTGTCTGTGGTGTAGACTTTATCTCCACAGGGTGCTCTGCCCAGTTGAAACTGTTTCTTGGCGTAAACCTCATTTTCATAGCAGATCTACAGTCAAACAAAGTTTTAAAAACAAATAATTAAAAAAAAACCTTTAAATTCAAAAAGACTTACAACTAAATCTAGGTGATAAATAAAGTTAACTTCCTCCTTTCATCAAAACTGTCTATGATTTTAATCTTGAACAAAAGAATACAGAAGATCTAAATAATTTGAAATTTTCTTGAAATTTGATTCTTGCACAAACATGTATACATTTACAACTCACAAATTCATGTTGATTTGTAACTCTCAAAAACTTATTTTTCAAAGTTTTTATTTCTATAATCAATTGGTTCAGTACAGCCACCTTAGTTTTCTTGTTTTGAAACTCAAAAACATGAAATTTGGACAGAAAATTACAGAGTAAACAATTTCCTTTGATTCACAGTGCATAATGGAGTTACTTTTCTTTGGAAGTTTACATATTGCCATACATACATATAATTCTGCGACATAAAATCGAAATAGATTGGTAGACATTTTATGATTTTTTAGACTTGTGAGATCCGAAAAAAGTTACCCCATAGAAGTTTGCCTGTATGTACTTCTTCTACATGACCCCGGAGGACAGACACACAAAGGGAGAACAACAGATCCATTCAGCCCTCGGGAGTTGGGTCTTTTGTTGGAAACGGTCCTCTGTAATAGGTTTGTGTGCTTAGTCTATTGGAGTTTGTATATTACAGGGACAGAGGAAAACATAAAGTGTTGCACCTACATGTGTTTCTTTATTGTAGGCCTTTGGGTTTTTGTTCCCCTCAGAACAGCAGGCGTCGGTGAAGGAGTCATTGGCCACGGGCCGTTTGGAACACGGATCACACAACTGACCATCAGCCAAGGCATGGATGCCGCAGCACTCTGCATCAATGCTTTGCACTCTGCCGAGAGCTAAAATGATACATTAGAAAACAAAAATAATTACCAGGCAATATTTGATGAAGTAATGGCAGATATAGCATCAATCAACCCATATGATGCGAGCGACCTGAATTTTCCATTATTTTTTAGGAATTATCGAACGTAAATATATTGACAATAATTAGGTTTTATTCACTTTTTGTGGCCATTTTGGGTAAAGCTTTTTGTAGTGCAATGGAAATAGTTCAGGCTAATTAGGTTTTATTCACTTTTTGTGGCCATTTTGGGTATAGCTTTTGTAGTGCAATGGAAATAGTTCAGGCTAAAACTTCGCATATAATTGAATACCCCATTCAATCTGCATAAAAAAATTGGCCTAAAAAAAGAAAAAATTCCGACTTAGAAACGGCATGTAATCGGAAGCAGAACTATTTTTTTTTTCGGCCTAAATGTCAGTTGGTGCGTGGAGTGTGTCACAGCATGTGCAACACCCAAATTATCTTGTCAGATACCTGGGTCTGAAAAGTATCAATATTCAGGGCAAGCTTTCCTTTACAGCTAACCCCCAGCCTGTGAGCCAAACCCGGACCAATCCCAATTGAGGGATGCCGTTCTATCTTTGTTTCTTAGTTTTTGCCTGTGAATTTGCAAAAGTTGTGCAGGTTTTTACACTGCCGATGTTCCTGGCAAGTCAGATCCATTTTTGCATTTCACATTAAGTATGAAGGTAGTATGTAATACTGATGTTATTTTTCGTTCCCTTCTGTTTTTTCAATTTCTTATTTTCTTCTATGTCCTATATAAGTGAGAATTAATGGCAACCAAAAATAAGCACAAACAATAACAAAGTCACCCGGAATCAGCCGGAATCAGGGTTTTGTTTTGTTTTTTTAAATATTTTTTTTAGTAAAATATATAGATAAGTTGAAATTTGCCAAGAGAAAAAATAGAGATCACGGATGTACATCTTAAATTATAATAAACAAAAAAATATAATGAAAACGCTCACCAAAACGTTTATGGAAATATTTGTTAGGCGGACTTCTGCTGCAGCACTTGCTTTCTCCCGGCTGATAGGCCTGAAACGCGTTTCTCCTGATGCGACAACAGGACCCATAAGGGAAGTCAGAAACCTGCCAACCGCAGCATGTTTGTTGCTCAGGGTCGAACGTGTTGCTGCCCCCACAACACTGAGATGTTGGAGCAGCTTTCTCCATGATGTTGCCCTTGCAGCATAGTTGGTTTGTCACGTCGTACAGGCCTGCAGGTAAGGGGAATAATGTTCAAATATTTAACCAGAAAGGTCCTTGGCTCTTTTACTTTTTCAGTTTTAACCATAATTATATAACTGGACTACAGATCCTTGTCGTTTGATTGGTGGAACTCACATCACGTGACATTTGTTATTGCTCCCATTCACGCCGGCGCTCAAAAAGTCCCGTTCACCCATGGGGAAAGGGATTTACTATTCAACTGTTAGGATCATCCGTGTTCCATGACGCGGTATTTGTGTGCAAAAGCATGCTAGAATGCGGGTTCAGCATTGCGCGAAGCCCAATTTGTTCCAAAGAGCCAGCGCTACAGAGTCGGGTTTAAACATTTTTGTGAAGGGGTGGTTTGGAAGAGAGAAATATATTCTCCACCAATTTTGTGTTTAAATAATATTTAAATGGGGTGTTCCCTTTCCACAAACAGTCCACAGTGACAGTGCATTTTGCTCTCTTCAAAAGCTGCGAAGTGAAGTCAAGAGGAAACTCTAAGAATCACCTGTTTCTTATGATTTGTGATCCCCAACTCAAGACTTATCACTCTCTCTATCAGCCTACTTACTGTTGCCGCAGCATTCCTTTCCTGGTTCCAGATCGTGGAGAGCATTCCCACAGCAGACTTGCTGGGTTTTCAGGTAGGATACTCCACTGCAACAAGCCTGAACGCCTGGTATCTCGGGGATAGACAGCGACACGGAGTCACAGCAGGAGGACCGCAGGGGGTTGTAGGCCTCAGCACCACAGCACTTACCGACACCTGTACCCAAATATGTTGTTTAACAGACATGAGCTTAACTCTTTGCAAAGGCCTACAGCACGCCAATATATTTATATTATTTTGTTGTTGTTTTGTTACGTATATTACATCGGTCACACCACATAGTGGGATGTCTTGTACCACTATGTGACACATTGTGTAAACCACGTCAATAACAGATCCATCACTTCGTGGTGGGGCAAACATGTATTCGTCACTTCACGGTGCACTCAACGATACATGTATTGTACGTACCATTCTTAGACTCAGTTTGCTGTGGAATCAACTCTGTGTGAAGGGAATAATGCCTTATATATCGAGATATCCAAAAAAATATGTGTTGTGACATTCTAGCCAATTAATCAGACAACCTTCTCCAGCCAGCACCATTTGGAAGCGAAATATTGGCTCGTTTCAGAGTTAAAAGAGTTACAACTAGGCAGTCCTGAAACTTATAAACTCTCTTGTCATTTTTCCGGAACCCTCCGCAATCCTCAATTAAGTGAAAAACCATTTGCACATTCATTGTGCTCCAATAATTCACATGTGAACACTTGGCTGGACTGTGCAACTTTCTCAATTCCTGCAAAATCACTCAAACCTCCTCATGGATTTTGAAGGATCTTGACAGGGGTTTGAGGTCTACTCTATTGGAAGGATATTATAAGTTATCCCGCGAGCACAAGTGGAACACGGAATAATGTAGCACGTCTGTGTCCCACATACGGTACTACGAGGCCAATATGTGGGACACAGACGCACTACATTTTCCGTGTTCCACGAACACCAGCGTGATAACGAATTTACATGTATCTTCAAGCAAACTTGACGCGCAGTAAAGATGGAACACACGCTGTACACAAACTTCTCAGTGGTTATCGTATTACACGTGCGTGTTGTACGGAATGGCGCTCGCATCTTAAAATGCGCAGAAAGCGGTACGGACAGAGGGCCGTGCTACATGGTTATATGTAGCACGGCTTGTTGCCATGGGATTGACCAATCAGGATCGAGGATTCAAGTTTACTTGAAGATAAAAGGTTAAGATCAGTATTGTAGTCAAGGTACTCCTGACGGATCACAAGTCCATCACAAGTTCATCACAAGTTCATCACAAGTCCATCACAAGTCCATCACAAGTCTATCACAAGTCAATCACAAGTCAATCACAAGTCACAAAGTCCCAAGTCCACTCACAAACTATTCAAATTAACTGTGACACAGGGGATTCCTTTGTTATTGTTCATCGCAAGCTACTTGTGACTGGACTTGTGATTTACTTGTGACCGGCCTCGTGACGCACTTCTGATCCATCGCATGTGCTTGTGATCGCTCACAATAACCTTGTCCACAAAACACTGGTTAAGTAAGATCAAGCCGTACCTATGTTGGGAGTGATGACCGATTCACAGCACTGGTCGGTGTCCTCATTGTAAGTTACCAGTCCACAGCATTCGACTTTGCCGTCTACCAGCGGGCTGATGCGATACTCGATGCCGGACTCGCAGCAGACCTGAGTCCGGGTGTCATAGGTGTCTGCTCCACAACACTCGGTGAAGGAAGACTTCCGGTCAGTTGGATTCTACATTGTACCAAACACAGAAGAAGAACATTTCAGTGTTGGGGCACTGTAAAACATTGATGAGTATGTGTTGACTTCAACATCTCATTAACCCCACTTTGAAGAATCCTACGTTTCCCACTGACACCTCTAGATAAGAGTGTACCGGTTTCTTTATATGAACCACAAGGATGCGTGTACGCACGCTGTGCTTGAAACGGAGTTCAGGTGAAACGCTAGTTGTTTTGCACAAAACAAGATCAACCAAAAAAAATGGAATGAAACAAGAAACAAGCTTTCATGAAACACGACTTTGGCTTCGATTGAATGAAAAACACACTTAAAAATATGCCTAAACTTTTTAAAAACATCCGTGTATGGTTAAACAAAGAAACTGAACGGAGCACGATTTGAAGCTGCAATCTTCAGAAGAGCAAAAAACAGTTCGCACCTGTCACACACAAAACTCTGTTCTAGCACCACCATTCCCTGGTTCACATCCTGCTCCAGTGAAATTACCTTGTTCAACTTTACACTGATTTTTTTGTTGCTCAATTTCAAATGAAGAAATTGAATTTTATACTTCGGGTTTACTTGAAAATCATCATCCACTACTTTTGACAACCCATGTTCATATTTGTTCCGTCTGATGAGGAATGGCGTGGCAAACTTACATCTAGACAGCAGAGTTTGTTCCTGGTGTCGATGGTCTCCAAGCCGCAACACTCCAGAAAACCGCTGACGACAGCTTCCCTGCCGACCGCGGCCACGTGGCCTGCGGAGCCAGGCCCCAGACAGCAGTGCTCCGTCATGTCATTGTAGACGTCGCTGTACCCGCAGCACTCTCCCACGCCCTCTACAACGCGCCCAGCGCAGCAGGTATGAGTGGTTGTTTCTATCCACTGATGGTTACAGCATTCTCCATGCTCACTGATTGCATGCACTTCGTGTCCGCAACAGAGCTGGGTGTCATGGTTGATCCAAGTGTGGTCCCCACAACATTTGCCAGTGGTGGAGTCAAAGAGCTGTCCGTTACCTAGAAAAACAGCAAACAAAACATCATTATTATTACAATGCGCAAACCGTATTACACTAGTGTTCTTTAATCAGGCATGCAACTGGGACTTTTAAAAAAAGGAAACTATAAACCACACAAGACTTTGTACGATATTTTTCAATTTCTAATGGCATTCATGGGAAGTAAAAATACCGCAAGTAAAACTTGCCTGATCCCTTTACATCTTGGCAATTTGTGTAGGCCTATACATGTGAAGGCAGTTTAGTAAAAAAAATTCAGTGACGGCCTTGATTATCCATCCGGCAGGTACCAGTTGTCAATTGAATGGGGAGTTTGGGTTGAACGGGAAGTTTTGGTTTGGTAGAGACACAGGACTCCGTGCGGCCTAGTCTTGGTGCGTTCCCCTTGCCACTGCAGCAGATGTTCGAGTCTCCTAGTAGTACTAAGCTAAGCTCTCCAGAGACATCGTAAATACATGTACATTGTATCCATATTGGAAAGGATTTTTTTGACGTAGGCCTTCTCTCCACAGACCACCTTTCAAGTTTGGTTGAGATTGATGACTGAACTTGCAGTGAACATATAGAAATTGTCCTGTGGAGACGTACATGTATACAATCTTTTGTTCCCTATTGTGTGCAATAAAATTTTGCAATCTGGCACACTAATTTCAAAATGCTCTTATTTTAATCAGAATTAATTTCCTGGGCTGAAATTCGGACTTAATATCCCTTTTCTAAAACTCTTCCATTTGCGATGGATTAACCCACCTTGAAAATTCCTCGTTTTTGAGTAAAATCGATATATCTATTTCGTGAAAAAGTTGCGGGGTACCAAAACCGTACCCCGCAAGTCGGTGGGCATTCCTTGTGGGGTACCTCCCATTGTTCTGGTACGCCATAAGGCAAAGTTGCATGCCTGTTTAATAACCAAATCCAACAGCTGTGCATTTTTTGCTTGATTCTCTTTCAGGATTGGGCCAAAAAAATAATAGTTCTGCTTCCGGTTTCCCTACCTACATGTACCCTATTCTGACAGCCCCTACCCGAATTTTTTTTATGGGAAAAATGAGAAAAACACCCAAAACCATCATTTTATACCTTTTAGCCTTGAAAGTTGGCCTTGGTTTTACTGGACTTCAAATAAAATTTACTCACAGCATGCCTCCTCCAGGTTTTCAGCTCTTGGCAAGATGTTCCCCTGACAACATGCTTCGTCATCCGGTCTGAAGAAGGATTCCTTGCCATTGTATATGCAGGATTTCCATTCGTCATCAGCTGGCAAGAAAACAATATTTAAAGTCACATTAATAATGCATCATCGTCATTACTGTTAAACAATTCTAGGATTCAAGAAATTTGGCCGGGGTAGCACTGTATCGACATTTTATCAAACATGTCAAGAACGAAATAACATCATCACAGCTGAGCCGGATATACCAAAAAATGTCATCAAACGAACAGCCTGGTTTAAAAACCCTGATTCTTAAAAAGAAAAACAAATATCAGATTTTTATAAAACTTAAATCGGATTTTTTGTTATTATTTAAATCAATTTTTATGATATTCATAGTTTTGTCGTATGAGTTATCAAAAAAGCTTAGTTTGTCATATTCAACACACTACATATTATTCAACACCTTTGAATTGCATTGCGTTTTCACATGTTAAAACTACACCCAATTTGTTCCTAAAAAGAGAGAAATTAACGATCTCACTATAGCTTCACTATTCAAGGGAATTATGAAATCATGGAGCACTGAACATGAGTGAAGTACCCAATATGGAAGAGAAGTTTGTCACTTTATTTCTGATCAGATTTTTGCTGATTGTACATTTACATGTAACTCCTTTGTATTGTACATGTACATGTACTCTGTACTGACACTACATTGTACATGTATACTTCTTTAAACTAGGAATAACCATACATGCTTGAATCAACAAGTTTGCATACATGCACTCATGAGCAGTTTATAACAAACAGTGTAGCCAACCAGAGTGTGGAATGATCCACAACATAACATCAGTGTATTAAAATTAGCTTAAAATTCTACACTAAAAGCTCTTTACGAGCGTATCATTCAATTGTTCAACTTCAATGTTGATACATACATGATCATAATTGTTAGCTCAATGTCATATTTGAATCAAATCCAAGTTTCAATAACCAACTACTAAATTATTCCAAAAAAAAATCACTTAAATATTTAACTGATATCCTACGACTTTTGACTTAATTTTATATTTCACACAATCTTTATTTGAGTGTAACTAGACTGCGAAAAGATTACTCAGTATTTTTTGGTATGAAATAAAAAAAACTAGTCCCTTTTCCTGCTTGCGCAACACATACACGTATTATGCTGTAAATACCACTCCTTTGTAATATTTTTTTTCCCAGATTGTTGGACACAGATTGAGAAATCAAGTTTACTGCATCTGTGACAGTAAACATTGGTTGGTTATTTGTAATTTGATTACAAATATTTTTAGTAAGTATTTGTGATTGCATGTTTTTACATTTTAATAAAAAAACATTATTTATCATTACAAAATACAACTGTTTGCTCTCTTTCCCACTTCATATTCCTGTTGCTTTGAACCGCGCAAGCTATTTCGGTGAATATCATAAAAGTGGATTGTCACTGTTTGTTACTTAGGAAAGACATACATCTAAAACTAGAGAGCACCCATATGCATTTTAGTTCTAATTAATATAGGAATGGGAAATTGGGGTCCCGAATCACACAAGTTTTTTCGTTAAACTTCAAAGTTTGATTTCCCGTTTGTTTCGCAAACAGGTGAGTTTTAGTTTCTTTGAATATTTGATGAAAGCTAACAACTTCCTGGAACGATGAGCCATTGCTTTACGCAATATCGTCCCTTTCGAAAAAAAACCCTGACCCTTTTTACTAAATACTATGATTACAAAATCAAAATTCCCAAAGTTCGTCATCAGACGTCACTTCATGGATTTAATATATGCATCACTGCCATCAGCAAACAAACACGGAAGTCGAGGATTAAATAGCCTACATGTTATTGTTAATAAGAGCGAATTGAACAATCAATCAACTTCAATTTAAATGTTCCGCGCCTACGAACTCTAATGATAAATGAAGGCCTCACCTACAACTTGAAAAGATGGAGATCGTCTGACCGAAAAAGATGAGTTTTCTTGCAAAGTTTACAACAAAACTGTATGATGTCTCGTACACACAAAACCAAACAGCTAATGTGGAGGACGCCCTCTATTGTTGACAACTTTTTTTTATTTCTGAAAAATCAACATGCCGAACTGATTATATCCCAGACCTTTTCCGTCGTTTTCTGTCACCCCGTTTTGATTTCAATCGAGTGATTAGTCAGAACTCGGTGAACAAAACAAGGTAATATATCAAAGAGTTCACGCTTTCCGCGCTAGAAGCTTGCTCATTGAATATTTTACAGGCGGAAGTTCCGTTAAGTTTACGCAACAATCGGCCCATTGAAAATAATTGGCCAAGGAGGCGAGAACTAGCACCATGAGAAGTTTTCAATAGAATGAGTAATCATAGAATTTTTTTCTCGTAAGAGGTTTAGCCTAGTAAAAAACAGACATTACTCTAGGCTATAATAGCTGGAATATATTTTTGACTAATTTTTTAGTCTGCACTTTCAGACAATTTTCTGGCAGGTTTGGCTAAGATTAAAGAATTTAGGAAATTTAAAACAAATAAGTTACGTAGATCTTAGAACTTTGATACGTGTTTATGAATTTAAAAATCCGAAGAGAAAAAAAAACTGAAGAAAAAAAAATACCTGACGAGCATTGTGCGAAGGAAGCTGCAAAGAGAACCAGGCAAACTCTGAACGGCCACCGGGTTATTCTGCTCTGTATCCATATCGTCATTTCGAACTTTAAATAATTTCCTAGCAACTGATATGAGTTTCATGCATGCGGTGTACGAGTGTAGTTTTGGTATTGGAGCAATTAAAAACCATCGAATCTTACTATCCAAAAGATGAGGGTTGAACTGATTTCGCTACTGATTTCGAACTGATAACTCCATGCAGCTTATATAATACCGATGCATCACATAGGCCTATGGGCGCTATTTTTGGAAGTGACGGCGGGCCTGCATCAAGCCAGAGCTCACCTGGTCGACCGTGAGTATTTCCTGCTACTGTGTTGCAATGCATTGTTATTATAGTTTTAAAACTTTCCCAGACCCACCGTGAAATGATGTTGTGACCCTAAATGAAATTATGACATCATTATTTTCAGGTCTAGGGTTCATTAAATTATCGCGCAAAAGAGGCTATTAAGTAATATAACACGTACGTTCCTCAACCGTTTATTAATAACAAACGCACAATCTGCCTGCCTGATTCACTGAATTTAAGAAACCGCAAAATTTACTCAGTGAAATTCGCGGTTAGGCTGAACGTATATATCAGTGGTCACGGGCGCACGATCATGTTGGTTGACAATCAAAATTACCGGACCGTACGCGTGTCCTCCAAGATGTGTGATGTGTGTACAAAATTAATGTACGTACGGGTAGGCAAAAATGGAGGTGACGTCGTTTGAGAAGCAAAATGATGCTCTAGTATGAGTAATAAGGGACTGCGGGCCCGCTCTGCTGCGCTCTTCTCACCCTTATACCGGTACTTTTTTTAACAGCAAACTAGTTTCTTCACGCACTCAGTATAAACTCGTTTTATATCGAGCTTTCCGTTTCCAAAATTACAAGGGAAAAATGAAAGAAATCACGGTGAACTTGACTCATGGACGGTACATCTTTAATCCATCAGTCTTAGTTTTCACGGAACTATTTCTTATAAGCTTACCTTGCGAAGGTACTGAGGTCAATACTGGCACCGCCGAAGAGGCCAGTGTTATGTAACCGATCCACACGCAAAGTGCGTACGTCGCCATCCTCATAACAGGAGCTCCAGATTTCTTAAAGATCGTAATGACTTTTAATCCTTAAATCGTTTGAGACTTAGGCAGAGTAAATCAAATATCCAGAACTTAATATTTCACAGCCAATTTTTCAGAAAAATATATCGCACTAGGAGACACCAGTCGTGACTATCTCATACAGACGTTCTTTAACTTAATAATGTCTTTACTCCCTAGAACCCATATTTATGGCAATCTGAAATGAGGTAAATGTATAAAAATATAAACTGGATATTAGCACAGTATGTATAATTAGGCGATAGCGTTATTGCGATTCTGAGCGAATTTTGTTTCTTTTTCGGCCGGACGTTGCATAATCACCTGTCGTGTAATGCTCCACTAGTTGTACGTCGAGGCAACGAGTGTGGACGTGTGCACAGCTACAGAGAAATGCCTGTGCACATGGCTAAGAAGGAACAGTGTTTGGGGAATACCCAGGTCTCTCTATACACGGACTCTCTATACTAGCGGACCGGGCGGGTTATCATAACAGTTTTGCAATAGCCTTGCTTTCAGACCGTGCTCCATTGCAATGTACGAAATCAATAGGTCTTTTAAAAAACGATTTAGGGTAGCATCCAGATGATATTATTGTAAAAAAAAACACTCAGTTTATATAAACGTGCGATAACTGTACGTAGTGAACTAGGTTGGAAAACTCTATACATGAAAGAAGAGAAATTCATATTAATACCATGGTTTTTTAAGTGTTTATCAGGCAATGTTCCTAGTTATCTTAGCGAAGTTTTTGTTCCAGTCATTGAGCTACACTGTCATCGAACCACTGTCATCGAACTATAGGAATAGCACTGTTGGCAATCATGATGTGGCTCTTCCACTCCCTAGAACAGAAAATGGAAGAAGAACTTTTAACTCCAGGGATGCCCAGGCTTGGAATAACTTACCGCAACATTTAAAATCTCCGCATCCAGCAAGCCTTACTCACTTCGTCAATCAATTCAAACGTACAGCTCAGTTAAAAAAAGAAAATAAGCCGGAGAAAAAGAAGAAAAAAGAAAAGAAAAAAAAACAGGGGTGGGGGGGGGGGGAATGTCATCTTGCAGTGATGTTTTGTATTGTATTGTGAATGTCTGTTTATTATCTGTGTAATTCCTATTTTATTTAAGTTTATTAAAATGGATTTTTTTTTTACATTGTACTCTAAATATTTTAATTGTATTTTAATAGTAGTTTGTGTGAGCTGGGATCCATGGGAGATCAGTGAGCTTTTCTCACTGAATGGATCACACGGGATAAATAAGAAATAAATGAATAAATAAATAAATAGCTTTTGTTTTATTTTTATTGCTCACTCAAAAGCAGGATTTCCTCGTGTTTAGTTATTGATAAATATTATTTTATTGCAACCATTCCAGAAGAAAAACAGGGAATCTCGAGAACGGGGCCAAACCCTCCGAACTAATAGACGCAGGTGAGAACGTATTCTAATTACGTAATACACTGTTTATTGCAACATGATCCAATCTTTGTGTGGATGGTGGTTTTGGGTGAAAATTTACGGTAAAGGAACAATGGGAAGTATTAGTAGAATTTAAGTACATTACAAGCGAGAGACTTCTTCACTATACAGTTGGACGAGAAAATTAATGATCTTTGAGGCAAAAGCTATTAAGGCGAAGCTGCGTGGGATACTCAATGAAGGCCCCCAAATGACCTGCATAAAAAAAAATATATATGTGGTTGTGGCACAGAGCCACAAACCATGCATGGAGCACCTTAATATTTGAGACGCCCCTACTATAATTCTATAATCCTATTATTCATCACATTCAAACCCATTTGGGTTGGGTTGTTTTATATATTTATTAACTTGCTGGGAATGTTAAAGCCACGCCTCCCGATTGGGCCCTCCCAATCCTTCCGGGATCCCGAGGGAACTAAACACTCTAAAAAAAAAAAATGAAAAAACCCTGAAACAAAAGCCGTCTTCTGTGTTGAATGTTGAATCTAAAACGGGGGAAAAGAGGCGTCTGCATTCAAGTTTACGAAAACTATAGCCTGCCGCATAACTATCCGAGTTTACCGCAACCTCTTCCCCAGGGCTTACTTTATTTCCAACCTGGTTTCCAATAGTAAACCCTGGATAGGAAACTTTCTTCCTGTATCCTGATTCGATACCGCAATTGGCTAGTGATGGATTTTTATCGTGTACTTGGTGTTATTATTCACAACGTGCAGTACGTGTTTTCGCGATCATTTGTCCATGCCTTCTCGAAAATGCTAATTTCCTTTCCAATATGGTCATATTAATATGAAATATGATACTGCATGTTGTCTCGATAAAATCGTAACAGTTTAATTTGAAAAAATCGTGTTTTTGTAACTCACGCCGTGCTCGCGCTGCGACGAATTGACTCCAGACACCGCATACAAAAACAAACGCTAATGTATCGCATATCCAGGCACCAGCCTATTCCTCATTTGCATACGTGTTCAAAAATCTTGCACATGCAAATGATCCAATACCAGGGTGAGAGAGCAGGTAGTGATGGGCGCGTACTTTTCGACACCCTGGGGACGAGGTTGAGTTTAGCGGTTCACGGCATGATTCAAGATGGCAGCGCCCCCCCCCCCAAACAGACGCTAAAATGGACGAGTTTTCTTCAAAACTCTTCCTCATCCTCCTGACGAAATTCGGCCTGAAGGTTCTGGACAGCCCCCAGTCTTCCTCATCTCTGCAAACAATTTTTGGTCCATATCCGACGATCAAAAATAACGCGAGGCTCGTCGGCGATGCAATCTCCGTAACTGAACAAGTAAACTTTGTTGTTGAACCCCCCCAAAAAGCAGTTGTCGCAAATTGACGGCTGTCAATTTTTGTCACCATGTCAGTGTGTGCCTGATCATCCTGTGACCGATTATTGAACGGAATCGGGCGCGTGCGCCGGTAACGTTGAGGTGAATGCGGTGTAACCGCAAAGGTGATAAAAAAAAAACATGTACCGGCGGACATCCGCATCATCTGTTGCACCGCACAAAATCTGAAAAGTGTGCAGCGGGCTATAGCTTCTGGTTTTTCAATCCTATTCATAAGTATCCAGGTTCAAACCGTGTGGCAAACCTCAAGTTGATGTTGTATGACGGAACATAGTGTGCGAGAAAATGAATCAATGATTGCTCCGGAAAACTAATACGAAGTTCGAGCCTGAAGCAAAAACAAGAAACGAAGCAGACTTTTTTTTGTAAACCCATAAGTTAGACGGGTATAGGACCAGCTTTTGAACCAAATACAATGAAATAAGGTGACATCAGAGCAAGGGGTACAGCCCCCTGCTCATACGTCTCTTTTTTTTGGGGGGGGGCGGTAAAACCGACGGAACTGTTTTCATTGTTAAACCCATGAGTGCATCATCTAGAAAATGCCCCCCCCCCCAATTAAACCTTAGCAATGCTAAAAATTAATAAAAATCACCTATTGGGTTTCATCCCGTGTTATTTCACTCGAACGGAAGGCTATTTAAAGACAACATGTATACTTTCAGTTTATACAATATATAGTCATTCAAAAAAGGGGGTATCAATGAAAGGCCAGCGTAGTGTGCCACAGAAAACACAAAGTGAGTAATTAGACTCATTATCGTAAAAAAATGAGTCATTTTATCCGTATAGTGACACACTTTGGCTCAAAAAGTGTCTCACTACACCGACAAAATGACTCAATTATTACGATATTGAGTCAAATTTTGTGTTTTCTGTGTAGAAGGAAAATAAAGACTACCGCGGGCAGAAGCAAAAGTCAAGTTGACGTCATGATATTTGTTTGTTTCAGTTAAAACATAATGTCAGATTCATTTTTGAGTAATTAGAGTTGGACATTCTGTCCTCCGCATAGTCCGAATCCACTGACTAGAAAGTTTGAACAGTAATAGTGTTTCACTTCACTGTTTCGAAAGTAATGTTGACAAATGCAATCGGCTTCGTAAGTGATACTGATAGTCGCCTGTACGGAAATAAAGCGCAACGTTGTTTTCATGTTTAGGCCTGTTATGTTTTGCGGTCCGTCGTGTCAAAACGGGGAAGTAAGGAAAAACACGAAGAGCAAACATTTAGAC